CATGACTTTTCAAGTGAGATCATATTTTATGTTATCGCATTTTTTAGTTCGGTCTTCACCATAGACTATACATATAAACGACTTCACAATCCTTGTACTTGTACTTTGAAATACGAACTAAGGAACTAAGGAGTTGGGAATGACGTGAACTAGTTCGCATATTTTGAATGTGGGAGCGCTCTTTTGAACTAGTTCGTTCGCGAACTACACAAGCCTACAAAATACATAGTACAACATGAAGTAACATGAATTTACGCTTATTTTTCTCTAAAGCCTACCTGAGGAGGTAGGCAGAAGTCGCAACTTTTCGGTCAGTTCCGTTATAAAATTCCATTTAATAGGTGGCGAACCTATTACCCGTACATCAGTTATCATTTATATTATTTTTAAACTATTGAAAGAAAACCAATAATAGCTTTTTATACGTAAACGAGCGACCCGCCCCGGCTTCGCACGGGTGCAATATGCATGATATAAACCTTCCTTAAGAATCACTCTATCTATTAAAAAAAACCGCATCAAAATCCGTTGCGTAGTTTTAAAGATCTAAGCATACATACGGACATACAGCGAAAGCGACTTTGTTTTATACTATGTATTGATATATTATTGTTGTAAATACACAAACATCTGTGCAAGAAGTTTGTAATTCAGTCCAGCACGGTCCAAGGCTATTTTGCGATGCAGAAATTCTTCACTCCACAAAATGAAGTCCGTTTACCATCGTTAACGTAAAATATGGCGGATGTAAGAGGAATATTAAAGTTAAGCGGATTGCTGTCGGCATTATGAGATTATTTAATTAATTAGTTCCCTTTGTTTCGGAGTCAAGGTTTTTTGCTGTTAGAAGTATGTAGGTTAAGTAGGTCACGTTATTGGTGATCAAAATTTAGTTTGACATTGTATTATTGATTGCGTTGCTACTTGGTTTGTTTAGAAGGTGTGAACGACTCTTGGAAATAACTGTCTTACGGTTGATCATGGTCAGTATCTTTGTTTAAGTGGTACGTTGGATCCTGGGCTCTTTTTTATTATATATATATTTGTAGGGCCGACGTTTGACCACTATCTCGCCTGCTGGTAATGATGCGGTCTACGATGGATCACGTCGTTCCATAAGCAACCAATTCACTCGGGCCTTGAAGACACACAGGTACCCTTCAGGAAATACAGACTCTGGCAAAGAATTGCACTGTATTACAATTGTTGTTTTAGTCTACTATTACTATAATTGCAAAGTAGTAACACATTTTAGGAAATCTGCGATAATGAAATCAATGATTTTCGATTTTTGTTGTCTTTATAAAATTGTTACAAGGTGATTTGGATATTTTAAAAGATGAATGTCATGTCAATGTTTAATTTATTGAAGTATTTGTCAAAGTACGTATACGTATTTCTGCAGGTTCGTCTTAAAAACGAATGCACCTAATAGGCAAACAATGGGTATACTGTTTACACTTGTGCCTACTCCTTCAGAATAAAAGCAATTGTAATATCGTTCTGTTCTTCAGTTTTATATTATTGGTATCGTAGCAACGAAACTTTAATTCTGAACGAACATGATTGGATTATCTGCTACATCTTTCGGATCTAATTTCCATATCACCTTGACAATAACATTGTGCTACATTTATACCGCCAGAACTCCAATACCCTAATGTAGAGAATCGATACCCATCATATAAAATGTACTGAATTTCATTACGCGTGATTTACCAAACTGGGAACGTTGTAGGCGGTATGTGAAGTATATAAACATAGTCTTTCACCAAAATTCGTCTCAGTATTGCTTAGTGCTAATCAAATTATTTGTATTCTCGGCACATTACTGTCGGCGCCTCGTAGGTGCGTACTTCATGTCTTGCGTTATCAAATTTCCATTACTTGTACCTTCACCTAATAATATTCCACCTACGTCGCCTTCTCTTAAAAACTTCGCCGGACGTGCGGTTCTGTTTTCGTATTTATTACTCAATGGGCTCCCATTCGATGTAATTTCGACTTTATAACTGTAAAATAAGGTCGCATTTAACGGTGGAGCGTGGTTGAAAGTCTGAGGTGTCGTTTTGGGAGCTTACTCGGGTCGCGTTATTAGAGTCTTGTCCTTCTTTATTGGAATATACGAGGGGCTCGATGCCCCCTCCCTCACCCGCACTACCCGCGCCCCTCTCTCTCTCTCTCTCCTGTCATTGAGAGCTGCGGTCTAGTGAGGCTGATGCCTGATAGCATGAGGGATGCATTCGACGTCGCATCCGATTAAGTAATTGCCTGATTTCAATCACACAGTCGGATGTCTATGTCATTATTAATATTAATGTATTTTAGTACAGCCACGTCCAATTAGTTTACAAATTCGATTTGTATTTCATAAGTTGATTATCATATTTATCCCCTGTGACGCTAACATATTCAGTATTCGTTATGAATTGACGTGCTATTTTATACAATATGGAGAATAACTATTAAGTACTAACCATGTAACTTGTGTAGATCTAGATAACCTAAATTGGATTGACTCAGCGTTATTTTATCTTGATAATTTTATTACATTTTTCACAAAAGCTCTTCAAGTTTTATATTTTCGAAACTATCAGACTTGGATTTATAGCAGCAAGATATGAAATAAAAATTTTAATGTTTATTATATTTTTACTACAAATTGTTCTACAATTTTAGATTAATATTTTAAAGCGGGTAGCAGACAGCAGAAACATTCGTTTCACGTAGCGAGTCATGTGAAAAGCTCTCGTCTTCGTAGCGGCTACGTAACCGCGTAGCAGTGCTACGAGTCTGCTACGCCCGGCGGGCACAATGCTTTGTTTCACACGATGTTAATACGTCATGAGATGGAATTATATTTCTGTTGGAAGGGAAAACTGGAGGGGAAATGTTATTTATATGACGTTATATATACGATGTACAACGCTACAGATAAGATTTGAATGATTTGTGTAGAATTGTTTTCCAAATATGCAGTGAAAACGCAATGTTTATTGGTTTGTGAACATGTTATTAAGCGCTTACTGAATTTACTAGATTATAACTATAACTGGTTTGATGCTAGCTAAAGTACAGATGATTTATAATAATAAAAGATGAAAGTAAAACAAATCATTTACTTATATGACTTATTTAAAAGAATATCCATCGATTTGTAGCTCAATACGCTGTCCATATTACGGGCACGTGTCGAATAAAATGCTTTGAAACAGTTGAATAGAGCTCCTAGAAGGTGCTAACATTGCCATTGCACATAGTTAAAACACTAGTTCACCGCTCCATATACTTTATTCAACGTTAATACAGCTCACGTACGCAACATGTTACAGAAACGGCTGCTGTAACACTTGCTAACAGAACAAAATACACCCTATATCTAAACCAAAAAGTGATTTTTCTGTTACGGAGTAAAGTCTTGCAATGTTGCAGCAACTGTGTTGCAGGCTGTAACAGGACCACGGTTCGCTCGTTATATTTAATGGGTGTTTTCTTTTCTTGGGAATTTGTTGAATGTTAGAGTGTAAGGTGGCTTTGTGAACATTTACTGAAAATTTATGTTGGATAGGTAAAGTACAGTTAACACTGTGTGAAACTTTGTATATAGTAGATCTAATGTACGTTTTTGTGTTGTAGTGTGCATGTTTTTAATTTAAACTTATTTACTGACATACAAAGTATGATTAGGTTGCCTTTAAACGAACTGACGATGTCATCAGAATGAACAATTGAATGTATAGAGTTGTCATTCGGCGTGGCGGACTAAAGGACTTTGTTTAGAAGTAAACATATTCTGGCTGATGTTGATAATGATGATGAAATTGTATAATGGTGGAAATCCAATGATATTCTGTTTCTGAGAATAATTGACTGCAACTCTTTGTGTGATCAACATATTATTGTTGTTCCAGGTTTGAGTGTCAGGTGTATGTGAACTTGTATGTTTGTAAACGCACCCACGACACAGAAGAAAATTGTAGTGTGGGACAACGTTTAAAAAAACAATAAAAATAAATAAGGCATATGATATTGTTTATTGTTGTTATAAACCTTTATTGTTTTATTTCACAAATTTAATAAAGAGAGAAAACATAATATGAGGCTGTTATTTTTCCCAATATTTACCTTTTGTTTTGTTACATTCTGATAAAAGATTATTAGTGTGTACCTTCAGTACGAAATTGGCTTTCATATGGGGTTCTTGGAATCCAAGATAATGCCGTATATTGTGAAGTTAGAGACGTAACAATAATAATTTAATAAGATCAATTTTTTGTAGACTTATTTATTTCGTATAGCCGGTTTTACCAACCTCCCCTAAACCGTCTATTAACTAAGAGTTACTTAGCGTGAACTAGCATCTAAAGTATCTCCTTACTTGTACTGTCAGGTGTACCCTGCAGGTTAGAGAAAGCCAAAATGACGTTAACTGTCACTTATCTTAACTTAGGGGTTTCTTAAAATTAAAGAGACGGGGGAAAACAGGCATTTCTCTAGTAGTGATTTGTTATATATACATAGGTAGTAAATAGTGGTTAAATGTTTAGTACAAGATTTTGCGTTCGAATATTGCGTCGTTCAAAAATATTTCGGAGCTTTAATATAATTATGGTCTCAGTGATAGTATGGAGGCTAGGTCCTATATGGGTTCCCTGCTGTGTTTATAGTTGTCTAGATTGGCACCCTATCGCTTGAGAGTGTCTAATATTAATACATGTTGATGTAATATGGTAAATATTCTTTTTCTCAGCTTAGAAAGCGATGTTATTGTTTTTTTCTGTTGTAAATGTAGCTAGGTGGATTTCATGTGCTGTAGACGGGTTTACAAATACATGCGTATATACGATTATGTGGATCACACATTGCAGGTTATACTGAGAGGAAACGAGACGTTATACTGTAGGCTGTCTACTAGCCATCGGTTCCATCGTACTATTAGAATACATTAGAAAGTAATATAATAATAATATGTACTAATAGACCAATTTCTTTCGTTACAGATGTCACCAGCCTAAATAGGCAGGTTCCACATCAAGGTAAGTGCGATCACGACAAAAATACCACGAAAAATAAAGTATGTAGTAGTAGGTTTACTCACGTAAATGTGGCGATGTAACTCGACCACTTTCAAGCAGCACTAGGGGTTCATTCATTAGAAGCATTGTGCGCCACGAAGCGGCGAACATTGCGCCACCAACCAGCTGGCTAATAATTGATTTAAACTATCAAACACCAAGCGTTCTATAATTGTGTCTATAATGACGGTACTTGACGAGTTAATATGTAATGTCCCACGAGAGATACAGTAGGCACAAAAACGAAAAAAAAAAAGAATATTGCGCCGATTTGATATGATAGGCCTTATGTCAAAAGACACCGAATCCTCATAGGATATCATGACGGCCCATTAACTACAGGTCTATTAACTTGATGAATGTTTCATTATTTTGAGTGAAACCTAAGTTTATATGGTAATTTTTATGGAGCCTTTTATTGCCTCTTTTCTATGGTTATGTTGGTATGTTTTTATGAGATATTGAGAGTCGGATTTGATGTGATTGGGTCTGTGGGTCCTGACTGAATATTTGCATAAATATCTCATATCTTTTTGATTATTGGCCTCGATTTTGTATTGTGACTGCTGGTATTCTAGGTCATCTATCTTTTTAAATATAAATAGAAATAGATTCTGTAAAATTAGGGTATAGGTACTACAATTTACTTAGTATTTAACTGATCCAAATTCAATAATGTATGAACAAATCCAACACAAAATACAAATAACCAAGTTCGAATTAGGGTGAAGGTAAAGATCGTGAGGAAACCAGGGCTTATAATTTCTAATTACAAGTTTGAAATCGCCAACCCGCATTGAGCAAGCGTGGTGATTAATGCTCAAACTTTCTCTGTGTGAGAAGAGGCTTTGCTCAGGGTATATAGGTTATAGGCTGTTGATGATGATGATGAAGTTCGAGCTATAAACAACTGTCTTTAACGTACCCAATAAATTAAGAGTTGAGACTCCGTTGCCAAAAAAAAAAAATTAAGTGTCAAAATCAAAATATGAGTCAGTTAGCGTAACAACAGCTTACTCAGACATTAAGTAATAGTTTAATTGTCAAACCTGCAGGGAACAATGACTCATACTGTCATTAAATTATGACATACAATTCCATTATCAACAAAACACTATGTTAGTCGACTGTGACAGTTTCTGACGGCACTAAGTTAACTTGATTCATGCATTGCATATAATTTCTCTTGTCAGTTGTAGTTTGTTTACCACATCGAGCTATAAACAACCAGTTTATCACGATCTCGCTTCGTATAATCTTTCAACACATTAAAAGATCATTTTATACTGGTTTTGCATAACTTGATCTGTAGCCATGTGTGCTCCAGATTGTGTCGACGAGAGGTAATGGATTAGCTCCATCGACTGTCAAGCAACATTATTTAGTAATTGATTAATTATTATTATTGTAGCAGCTGCGTTACTGTGACTGGTGTAAATTAACTATCTGTATAATAGATTAGGTTTGGAGTAAGACTAGAATTCAGTATGAGTTTGATAGTTAAATTAGTTTGTTGCTAGTCGTCGTCCACCAAAGAAGGGTCTGCCTAAGGGTGCGTCCACACCTGACGATTGCTCCGCGAATGAGCCGCTCGCGATCCGCCCCGATTAGAGTATAAATTCTCATTTATACGAACCTTGTATGAGTTGAGCACCAAACTATTGCAGTGACCGCATGCGCGCAGCTCTCAGGTAGTCGGCAAACAGCTCGCGATCGGCACATTCGCGGCACATCCGCGAGATGTGGATGCACCTTATGCGAATGTATCCCATTAACAAAAGCCAAAAACACGTCTCATTAGTGTAATCACATACAAAAAATGAAGATGAAGGAATAACTACTGGCTAAAACAAATAAAAAGTAGGAAAAACAATGATTAAAAATAATTTTCAGTGCGAACTCTGTACCAACTTAGACACAAGTTCTTTATTGAACATTTATTAGCACAATAAGCAATATCTTTGCAAGCTAAATACTTAGAACACGATAAGTACTTAAGTAACAGCTTAATCAAATCCAGACGCGGCAAGGGGTGTCATTGTTAGGTACTGAGTACCTTGTTATGTTGATTACTGAACCGTTATTTGATTACGACAATTGTTTCAATCACAATACGAGACAACCCTATTAATTTCGTTGTGTGTGTCGGTGCCTCGTTGGCAATTGTTTCGATTATTGCGATATTGTTTTTTGTTTTTGGGGTTTGTTCTGGACAAGTCTTCTTTGTTTGACGATTTTGTAAATACGTAGTCAGGAAGAAAATATTGAAATGGTAAGGGTAACAAGTAATAATATAATATGTTTAGGGCTTATGTACTATATTATGTACGCAATCACCTGGTAGTTATTACATAAAATAAGTTAAAATCTGATATAATAGAGATAAACTAAAATCGCGGGTTACTCACGTGAATATACTGAGAAAAGCTCTACTAGTTTCGAACCACAGAGGGGTACTTCCTTATAAGCGTGCATGCGCAAATGCAATTTAGTATGTCTCACGATAGTTATTATAAAAATAATATATATTTTTTTATTTTTCATTATAATTTCATTAATTTATGAAATGGAATGCAGATAACTGTACGCCACTGACTATCTCTTTGGGGACTAATATAAGCAATGTAAGTTCATATTGTATTCTCAAACTTAATAATGTTTCTCAATTACATGCAGTAGGTATATAATCAAATCACCGTACCACAGGACAATCGGCGAAGCGTCACCGATTCATGGTAGATGTTCCGCCCATACGCACGAAGCGCTTCGCATCAAGCTTCCTTGTGCGTACTGCTAAAGAGTGGAATTCTTTGCCAGTCTGTATTTCCTGAAAGGTATGACCTGGGAGTCTTCAAGGCCCGAGTGAATAGGTTGCTTATGGGACGACGTGCTACATCGTAGACCGCATCATCGCTTACCACCAGGCGAGATAGTGGTCAAACGTCGCCCCATCAAATATAAAAAAAAAAATCGATATCATCTATTTTTGATGTAGTTTGAAAACTGTAACTGTGATCACACCTCTAGAGGATTGAAGCCAGTGTGTGGTGTGAACACGAGATTAGGTTAAATTTACCTTCGTTATGTAAACTTTAAACTGTCGTGTGTCTAAACGTGGATCCCCACGAGACACAATGTATTTACTAGCTTTTACCCGCGGTTTTGCTCGCGTCACAAATGGATAAAAAGTAGCCCATATACACACAGCGCCATCTATACCAATGATTTCGTTTTTCCTCCTCGAGAATATCACATATTAGCGGGATAAAAAGTACCCTATTATTTAATCCAGACAACTTTACGTTTGCAAAAATTCAAAGCAATCGGTTTAGTAGTTACGGCGTGAAAGGGGAACAAACAAACAAACTCACTTTCCGATTTATAATATTAGTAAGGAGTAAGGATTGTGTCTTATATACAGGCATTCAAGCGGTTAAATCTGTTATGTTTTCACATTACTATATCTATGTTTTGTATACTTTATGACACAAAGCTCATGTCGAAACATCACGTTTTGTTTCCCAGGAAGACTTACGTATACTGAAAGACTAAAATTTCACGTTGTACTTAAATATCGTGCCATCTCTGTTATTTTATAAAGAATTTGTATAGACAGAACTATACTTAAGCGCGACTTAAATTAAAATTGAGTAGCCATTCAATATTCGGACTTTAGGTAGCTAAAACAACAGATGTTGCATTTTTTTTTCACTTGTCCGCCATCATATTCTAGTGAATCACTCGTTGATTGAGTGACAAAATCATGACTGCCGAGCCTGAGAGTATGAGACCTCGGGTTAGATTCCTGTGGTAAAAAAGGGATTACATATCAGGATTTTGGTTTTATTGAAATTTTCAATAGTTCAATGTCAAGAATTTTACCTAGTCTGTGAAAACAAATTCAAACCCTATCACCATGTGATTAATATCAGAATTGGCTAAAAGTGCAAGTTACAATTAACACTTGCAGCTCTGTCTACTCCTTTAGAGATTAAAAGGCGTGTCCAGTCGTGTTTATACTAAATATGTAGTGGTCGTTGTCTACCCAGCATCTCTCTTCGAGAGACCTCGCTCCAACAACTGGGTCAAGGAATTTCTGATATCCAATGTAGTCCTGCGTTTTATACTCACTTACATGGGTATACATAATGATATGTAGGTAAAGAGGGTATGTGTGCAAGGATATCTTAGTTATTAAACATGTATGCGTTCAGAATTCGTGTTAATTTTACGAGTTTATGATTGTTGTATTAATTTTTGCTGTTGTTGAGTTTGGTTTTTTAACCAACCAATGCATTGTGTAGTTTCGTTGTATGGTGAGGCAAGATTCTAGACGTAATTGTACGTTATCTCCCCTAAATTCGCCCATAGTAGCTTATTGGTGTTAGGAATTATAATATTGCCTAGCTTCACTGATTGTATGTCTGTCTGGATGGACAATTTAATATTTGACGTTTCAAAAATGCTTAATTAAGGAATAATTAAAATAAATGCTTTGACTTTACTCTTGTATCCTGAAATCAGACATTATTTACATTGATTTGACCAGTTGTAATTAATGTAATCTATAGTATTTAGTGTCGTGGTGGCCTGAAGGTTAAGTACCCGCTTCTTATACATTCGATGCTGTTTTCGAAACCTACCAACTCCAAGTACCAATGTAACTTTTTCCGAATTATGCGTACTTTACAAGATTATTTAGACACCATTGACAAATAGTTTCAAACTTATTAGTTTTAAATCGCCAACCCGCAATGACTAAGCGTGGCGATTAATGCTCAAACATTTCTCCGTGTGGGAGAGACTTTACTCACCAGTTACAGCACTTATAGGCTGTTGATGTATTTATGATATTTATATTAGTATACACATCAATAACATTCAACTGAAAACAAATAGCTTAACATTAATGACATCACAAACTTTATCGTAACAAAAGCGTGACCTAAATCCTGACTATA